TTCAAGTGGGGGATAAGTCCCTCAAAGCGATAGCAATAAATAGTTGATTGCGAAACGCCCGCCGCTGATGAGCGTGTGACAAGATACTTTTCACGCGTCGGCAAGGGTAAGAAGAAGACGAGACAGAGCGAAGCAAGCCCAAAAATGGCAGGCACTAACACCGCTCAACTGGGCCTCAACTACGGAAAAACAAATCCACACTGCCGAGCGAAATTCCATCACTTATGCGCAACAGCAAGGACAGCAGCAAATGCGGCTGCGCAGCCCTCTTCATACTAGCTAAGCACACAGCAACACTGAGTAAATGGAACACCTGATGCACCTGTACGCGCAATGCTGATATGGGTAGGACGCATGCATACGGAGACCTAAGAACCTGGTTACCATATATGGGTTTTCCATGCTGGTGCGCTTCCAGAGGCACAATCAATACAGCAATTTTGCGGCCGATTATTAAGTGGGTCTACAAGACAAGCGGTAATCTTTTCACTACAGGATTGCTGCCGTTTGTGTTCAGGCTGCGAACTGGGAATTATTGAAGCCTTCGGATGCGCAGTGAGCCTCACAGCTCCGTTTAGCTATAGTAGAAGCAACGAACTGCCTAGCAGCTCACTGGGAGAAGATGCTTTCTTTAGAAAGGGCAGCCCCCGTTAACGGCCCTGCTCGATCTACAGGGCAGCCTGGGAGGCGTACACAGTGCAGCTGACGAGAACGCAACAACGCCGATTGGCTACAAGTCCGCTGTAGTTGACGCTGTCTTCTGCTCACTTTGTTGCGAGGCCAAACTTCACCAAGTATGGTCTTCAAACAGGATCTCCAAGCATATCTGCTCCTACAAGAAGGGATGGCTTAGCAGTGGTGGCCCTCTAAAGGGCGTCGACAGAATCTATTGCCATTTCTTCGCCACTTCTCTCCTCGCCTGCCAATGCGCTTGTTCCCCTTCCCTCTATCTGCTGGTGAGGCATTACGGCTACCTTGTCGCTCAACAGCAAAAGGGGGAAATATATCAAAAAATTGGTTCACACATTGTCATCTGCCAGGTTCAAACAGGCACTGCCTCGCGCCTTTCTTGCTGTTCGTCCTTAGCGTCTCCGTGGTTGATTCTGACGTTCTTCGACAAACATCGTCAGTTTTAAGGCGACCTGCTTCATCATTGCTGCAGCTGAAGCCCGTTCGTTGAGAGCATTAGCAGACTGCGCGTCCTCCTCGACATTCTTGAACTGCGCCAGCAGATCTTTAAATTCTTTAATATCATCGGGACGCATTTCAACATGCCAGTGTTGCTGTTTGGGCTCCTCCCCTGTTGCCATGCCCACTGCGGCAATTGCTTTCTCCACCAAGGTGGCACTCAATTGCATATCGAGTTCCAGGGAGTTCGTAAGCTGCACATGCAGCCACATAAGCTCAGCCTCGCGTAGGGAATTTCCGGCAGCATTTGCGGCCTTTCGCGATGCACGCAACATTTCCTCCATAGGGACATCTGAGCTACTGTGTCCCTCTTGAGTCTCTTCTTCTGCATTAACAGGCTTGCGCATAGCAGCGTTTGCATCCTCAACCTGCCTGAACGCGTCGGCAATCAGCTTGGTCACGTTCACACCCCTAGACGGGGACAACTTAGGTTGTTTTTGCCCGTCTTCTTCCTGCTCAAACGGGGAAGAGGAGTCGCCTACCTGCTGCATTCCCATCTCCTGTATAATTTTCCCTGCTCTAGCTACGTCTGCCGCAGCTTCTTGGCTGGTCTTTAGGGTCATCAACTTGAGGTAGCGCTGCATGACCGCGCTTTGGGCAGCTTCCTCTTCGCTTGCGACGCCGGGAATCGAACGCCTTCTGTTGGCGACGGCTTTCAGCAAGGTTTTCAGGCAGTCCGCTATCGTTCCGGCCTGCTGCTCCAGACTGCTTGCGAAGAGGATGTCGTCTGCCTCTTCGATCCGTTTCAGCATCTCCTTGTGCTTCTGAAGCTGCTGCTCGCCTCTGTTCAGCTGCACTTCAAGCCAGTCGAGGGCCTTTAAAACGCTGATGTCTTGTTGGGGAAGTATCTGTCGGCGCTGCCGCTCCAATATACACAGAAGGCGCAGTTCCTCTAGTTGACCTTCCAACTCGCGATGTCTGGATGCGTGCTCCCGTAGGTACTGCATGTGCAGCACTGCTGTTGCGCTGGCCCTGATGTCATCAGAAGATTCAGATTCGACCTGTATGGCGACATGTGATATCTTGAGTACTTCCAGATTGGTAGCAACAGCCACCAGCAAATGCAGGTCATCCGTGGCCTCGAGGCTCCGTAGCCTCTTCAACTCCACAGCCGCCTTCTCTACCCGCTCCCGGATAACGGAGAAAGAATATTTAGTGTTCTGCTCGCGAAAATTCATAAATTCCCTGAAGCCCTTGCCCAAGCCATCATCCAGCAACTGCATCTCCTCCTCTGAAAAAACAGGAGGCCGTTCCTTCTGTACCTCTTGCGCCAGAGACAAGCCACGCTCCCGAGCTGCTTCGTACAGCCGAGAAAACGCGGAGACACTGTCCTCTATCGCCGTCTTCACTGCAGTCAGAGGCGAACCAGACGAGCCCCCAGAGCTCTCCGCAATCGTTTGGGCAATATCCTGCGAACGCTTTACACTTGAGCAAAGCTCCTGCAAGGCAGAGCGAGACTCGTCTGTCCCCACCATCTCAGCCAAGTTTGCTGCCAGCGGCTGGAGCTTCTTCAGCTCGTCCACCGACTGCAGCAGTTGCTCAGCGGTCACCCCCTCGCCATCTTGCTGTCGCTGTTTCGGCCGCGTCTGTGGGAAGCCTGCTGGTTGTGGGTCCGGCGGCAGCTTCTTATAGCGCACTGTCATAAGTCCCAAGCAGACGGCAAAAATCAGAAAAGCTGTGCTGACGGAGGCGAAGAGGCGCCGTCGTCTACCTCTGCCGTTCTTGGGGGAGATATATGGGCGGCTTAAGTCGGCTTGAACTGCTTCTGTTTCTAAGATGTATCCTTTGGGTAGGGCGAGGCGTGTGCCACCCGGCGCTAAACGGAACGGGCCGTGCTGCAAAAGTGAAACATCCAGTTGGCCACTACCAGAAAACACGTATCCGGTCCATCCGTCCTTCCATGTGGGCACTGCAGCCGGCCACGCATCGTCACCGAATGACGCTTGGCTATTCGACTCTGTCTCGATGCCGGGAGACAGAGATGTAGCGGAAACCGGTGCCTCTGCACCTGTAGCCAGTGTTCCCACAGTGCATAGGCATCCTGTGAAGGCTGAAAAGGAAGGGAAAAAGTATTTTGAGCCGCGCATGTGTGTCTTAAACCCAAAGATTAATGCCCGGGATCGCAATAGCCTGGGAAGAATCTTGGATCGCAAAAAAGAAGGCACCGGTTCAGTGCCGCAATCCCAAGATGCACGTCAAGTCACGCGCACCTTCAAAAAACCAGGAAACAATGTATACGATGCGTAGCGCTAAAGCTGCTTCCGCTACTGCGAAGACCTGAATGTTGAAATGTTTTAAGCCTGCACGGGGACACACCCGACGACGGCAAATTATGAAACAACGAATTTCTACGAGTAAGCAACAAATACAGCACTTTCGCAACGTTATGTTGCAGAAATATGCTTGTGCCACAAATAAACATCTCTCAAATTTCTCTGGAAAGCGGCTCTACACGGAGATGCACCGGCGATACCGATGAGCTCGTGGTAGCGCGCCTTAGGAGGGCTTCCCTGCAATGCTGAATCGCCATTACCCAGAGATCGTTTTGTCTTGAGGCTACACGTCTACAACACAATGAAAGGCTTATTTCTTCTTGATGTTAATCCGCTTTACAAGAAACTGCCTTAACGAAATCACGCGGCTCCGATTTGTTAAGCTGTGCATTTGCTGTGTAGTACCAGTTCTTTTGGAGCAGTTCCTGGGCCGGGCCCTCGCAGTCCCGTGTTCACGCCAACAACTCCCCACTCCCTTTCCCCTTCGTTGTGGAAATTCAAGGTATCTTCCTAGTTTCCTTGTGTGTATACTGCTTCTCTCTGTGTAGTGCATCTCTACACAGAG